CTTCCATCCATCCGGACGGAGATGTTGCGTATATGGTTTTGTCAGGGCCACCTAAGCACCAATTTTTGTGCAGACGTTTTTTTGATTCAAAAATATTGTATGGCACCATTAATGTTATTTCTAACTATATAACTTTTATTGAAAACCAATTTCAATGGTTGTTTAGCACCACGTCTGCAAATTATTTGTTGCTTTCCTTGATCACCAGAGAAACCAATTTCATCAAAATTCCACAAATGACATGAAGTGTTTTCGTTAATACTTACTGTGTTGAATTCTCTTCTTAAATCTTCTTAAATCTAAGCTAAAATCATAAATACTTTGTTTATAAAATACAGTAACTTTTTTCAGATTTATCAAATTTTTCTTGAAATACTTCGCTTTTATTTCTTGCGTGCAAGAAGCGGCTCTATGTGATCAAATAGTGCCAAAGACTCTAATGCTTAACTTATGACTCCATTGGTTGATGAAAAGCTTGAGCCAATCTTTCCCTGGTGTACCGTTAGAAAACTAGATTGACCATGGTATTGCAAAAAGTAGGTTACTAAAGTGATCACGTTGCTGCATTCTTGTGTTTGAACCACTGCCAATTGTTTCACCTATGCCGCTAATCTGCCTATAAAGAATTGTTATTGGTATGCTGAATGATTGAGCAGCTTTGTTGAGCAAAAGTTCGCCATTTTTTATTTTCATCACTGCAAGCGCAACTTGTATTTTTTTTTTTATTGGAATAGGTTTAATAATATTTAATTTAAAAGTTGATCGAAAACAATCAATTTAAAAGTTTAGTCAGTTTAGACATAATAAATGAATAAAAATTTACCAAGCAAATAATTGGCGTATTTCATTCAACCCCGTAGTTCAACGTTTCCTTTTTTAACTCATAACTTTTTACCGGAAATAGCAAATTTAATTTAGAAAAAAGATATTTGACCGGCGTAAAAATTATAGAAGGGTACGTTTTAAGTCAAATTCCAGCAAACTTCATTTTCGAGAGTTTTATGCCTTTATCAAAAAAAAAAAAATATTTATTTTGTATCAAAATTTTATATTATCTTATACACAAAAAGGTTCTCTACAACATAAATTTTAAAATGTTTACAAAATGCTTATTAAATAAGTAAGTAGGAACAAAAAAATAAATATTTTCTTGACTATTTCATTCTATCAACTATTTCATTCTACCCTCTATCACATTCTATCCACTATTTTATTCTATCCACTAATTCATTCTATCCTCTATTTCATTCTACCCTCTTTTTCATTCTACCCACTTTTACTCTTGGTATTAAATTCATTTTTAGCTTGATTTTTTTTTAATTACGTTTTTATTATAGGTTTTTTTTGTTATTATTGATTTTATCGTTATTAATATCATAGTTTTATATAAGTAAATATTTTTATTTTTGTTTCTTTTAAAAATAAATACAATATTTAGTTATAAATCCTATTTAAAGCATAGTTTTGACGTAAATATAAACGCTAAAAATAATATTTTAAATAAGGTTCTGTGTTTTTTCTTTATATAGGTCTTTGATTAACTTTAAAGAGTAAAACAAGTATCACGTGCAAACATTATCACGTGCAAACAAGTATCACGTGCAAACATTATAACTTTAAGAATATTTGAGCATAGGAAAGATCGTTTATGTAAATTAGAAAGTGGAGCTAGAACGGAATTTTATTATGTTGGTTACATAATATATTTTTAATAGTTTTAAGTTGTGATATAGTTGAGTAGTTCGACTTGTTTTAAAACTTTGCATGGTCATAACCTTTGAGAGTCAAAAGATTTTTTAAATGAGATTTAAAACCTGGCAACGAATTTAAATTTGGTCAAAAGTAATAATATCGAACATTTTACCTGCTTACTGCCCTCGTGTTTAGGCTAGGGGGAAAATGTTTATTGGGTATTTTTGTTTTCAGACTTTCATCACCTCGTTTTTTGAAAAGATTTTTATTTGATACAGACATGAACAAACATTTGAGTTTGCACAAGACCTGACAGTGTTATATCTGAAACATCAAAAACCTTGCAAGCGCGCATGTATTTCAATAATTTTTAAATTTTTATTGTTTATTGTACTTATATGGGCTTTTCGAAATATGTTTTTGTCTATAGGCATTCTAAAAAATCTAAGTTCTTAGAATACTAATTGACAAAAACTACTTTGTTTAAGTTTTTTCAATGTTATATTTATTTTTAGTAAGGGCAGCATGGTTGGTAAAAAAATCGAACATTTTGTATTTAGTTTTTTCTGTATATATTTATAACTTTCTTCATTCAACTAGATGTACGAACATTCAGGCTTATTATTTAAACATTGGCAAAGTTTTTTATCGGAAAAAACTGTCGGTAATGTTCTGTGATTAAGTATGAGAAGTAAAATATGCCTGTGTCGTTATTACATCAAGTTTTTTTGAGGCTTCTTTAAGATCGATAATACATAATAGAAATAGAAGGGATCCAACAATGAAACCTTAAAGGATACTGCATTCTATTCTTAGTATTTTTTTAGCGTTACTAATCATCTGAATATTAAGTCTGAATACTTTTTCCAGAGATTTTTGGCGAACAGTTAAATTTTTCATACAAGCACAAAGCAAGCAAGATTGCACTTTGGAATAGAATCAGACTTAGATTTTCAAACTATTTATCCAGCTTCATTTATAGAGTAAATCATTTTCGCATTTTAAATGAGACCTATTTGTGATTTAATTTTACAGTATTTACACCTGAAAAAGTGTTATGATTTTCTAATGCTTTTAATATAAGAAGTAAAATTTTCTAGCATACTAATTTTATCACATTATGCATTGTCTTTTACTGAACCATCTTTTTAAAGGTAGCGGTGTCTCATTGCATTACAAATGCACAATTAGGTCTGCATCAATCTAAAAGTTACTCGAATCAATTGCTGTTGATTCTAATAACTTTTAGATTCAACCCTTAAGAGAAACATTATGAACAAAGAATAAATTTGCATTTTTAGGAACTTAAATATGATTACAGAAGTGATTGATTAGGATGAATTATTATAGAATAAACAAATGAATTAAATCAATATATATATATATATATATATATATATATATATATATATATATATATATATATATATATATATATATATATATATATATATATACAATATATATATATATATACAATATATTATTGTATATATATATATATATTGTGTGTGTGTATATATATATATATATATATATATATATATATATATATATATATATATATATATATATATATATATTTATATATGATATATTATTGTATATATATACAATTTAATAATTTCGCTTTTAATTTAATAATACTTATTCAGATTTTTGTTTGACAAAAAGTGAGTAGGGATGGCAAAAATCTCCGAAATTTTTAATCCCGGGATTTCGGAATTGAGAAATTTGTCCCCGGGATTGAATAGAAAAAAACGCAAACGCAATTGAATACTTTTTATACACTCATCACACAATTAAAAATGATCAATTTAATGATAATATAACTAAAATATTTAATACATTAATGAACCTCTAAAATTAAGTTGAATCAAGTTTTAACTTAATTTTGTATTAAAATTTAAGACTTTTAAAAATTAACAAACCTAAGTATTATAAATTATAAAACAATACCTTAAAATGGTAACACAGTATAAATAAAAATAAAAAAATAATATAAATATACATTACGTTAAAAAAAACTTTTGTAAATCGCACATTTTTATAAATCACACAAAATGAATGGATATAAAAATGGAATTAAAATTGCACATACTTTTGGAAGCAGAAAATTCAAAATTAAATTAATGTATACCTTCAAACTCTTGCTCTATTTACCAGCAAGCGATTGAATTTTATTTATTTTTGTAATATACTAGTTTTAATATTATACAATATATTATATATAGTATAATATCAAAACTAGTATAATATAAAAAATAACAAATATTTATGCGCTTGCTGGTGGAAAGAGCAAGAGTTTTTAATAAAAGTTATACATTAATTTTATTAAATATTTTTAATTTTATTTGTGTGTATATATATATATATATATATATATATATATATATATATAAACAAATATACATTTTGCAGACAAGCAATAATGTTTTGAGTTTTTTTTAATAAAATACAGAAAAAGAGAGTTTCAAAAGGAAAAAAAACGTTGCAAAGAGAGTAAATAATTAACAACCAAACAGCTACTATACCAAAGACAATATAAAAATTATTATACTACAATTATAAGCTTAAACTTTATTAACTTTTCCTTTTTTTGACGATCCCGAAATCCCGGAGACTAATCCCGGGATTTCGGGATGAACAGTTTGTACGTTGTTTAATTTTGTTGTTTAATACAAAATGAGCATATCGTGGTTACACTTGCAAAAAATTTTAACTCAAAAATCCCGGTTTAAAGAAATCAGTCAAAAAAAAAAAAATCAAACCCAACCTCCTTGTATTAAAGACCCGGAATTATACATGACATAATTTATAACAGTTTTCTCTTTACTTCTTAATAAGATATTAAAGTATTTTTCACTCCCTACATTAATTTATAATTAATATAGGGAGTGAAAAACAAATAGAAAATAATAAAGAAATTAAGAAACAAATACTAAAAAGTAACAAAAGTTTTGTTTGACTGACACACATAACGTAGAGGTCTCTTTTTATTTAAAATAAAAAATATATAAAATATGGTACAAGTATTTCTTTTTATTTTATTCTTTGTAATAAATTTATATATTTCAAAGTTAAAAAAATATATACTTACTTTTCCCATATCTTTATTATTTATTTCGTATTACTAAATATAGCAATATTTACTTGAACAAAATTAAATTTACTTGTATGTTCATAAACTTAGGCCGTATTTTCTAGTAAAGATTTAATTTTTTACAATGTTTTACAATGGGACTATCAGGGACCATTAGAATAACAACGTAATTTATTTATAGATTTTTACTATTTTATACTAAAAATAAAGTTTTGTTCTCAAAAAAATTGTCACTTCATAACAAAGTTTTTCTCTCAAAAAACGTCACTTCATAACAAAGTTTTAAAAGATTACTTTATAAATAAATTGTGAATTAAAATTATTAATTTATAAATAAAAGATTTTTACAAAAATAATACAAAATTATTTTCAAACTAAAAAATTCTTTATTTAATTTTTTTTTTTTTTAAGAGTTCTTTTACAAAGTCTATAAATTCATGTTCGGTATAATAAACAGATGTTAACACTCCTAACAAACATGTGCAACCAACTCCGACATGCACCACGGGATATTCAAAATATCTTTTCTCAGAAATAGCAGTGAATAACAGTGAAACAAGAAGCATAAAGACAACTTGGAAAGAGGGAATAATGGCCTTTAGCGGTCTATAGCTTGTTTCGCTGAAAAAGCCTTGTATGAAAAGTGCACTAAAAAGAAGGAATCAAATAATTAAAAAAAAATAATTAAATTTTTTTTATTTCTTGTCTAACTTAGGAACTAGTAGTAACGGTAATAAAAAATTAAATTTTTTTTAAATGTTTCAATTTAAAACACAGCAACATAAGTCTATTTGTCAATTCTTTAAAATAACAAGAGGATTAGTAACCAAAAAATTTATTTAACTGCTACATACTTAGAAACCTGAGTATGAATTTTAAAATAATATTTGTAAAAGTAACAATGATTCAGATAATGATAAAAATGAATATTATCGCATATTGTTACTATTTATGTGATTATAAGCGGTTTAATTTCTTACAATTGAAATGTGCAGTAGTGTGTCGAGTATAAGACTTTAAAATAACTTGTATTTTAAACAAAATCGAAATTCATTTAAAAAAATTGGTATCAAAAACTTTCTGCGTTTAAAATTGGCGACGAGTAAAATTCATACACCCCTTTCCTACTTTAGAGGTTTCTCAATTCTCATTTGCGACACATTTGGGTATAAGAAACCTGAATTTTGGTATATTGCTTCTAGATTCCTACAGGGTATCTGCCAATATTTTTTTAATAAATATCTGAATTATCTGACTTTTCATTGTTTTCCCTGATCTGGCAGACACCTTTTTTCTATAAATGTAACATTATTCAACATTAGTAATCATAAAAAACTTTTCACTATTTCTTTTAAATTACTTAAATTAAACAGTAGAAATTGCCGAAAATGTGCCTTACCCAGTTGCTACCCAATATTACCTCAAAAGTGGTTTCAAAGCATAGTTTTAAATGTTAACATTTTTTAACTATGCTGTATTTGAAAATTTACATTTATGAACTATTCCAAAAAAAAATTAACCATTTTCGACACCCTTTTGCCTCAGAATTTTTTTTTTTTCACGTCACTTGCAGTCCTTATTTAAAAAATAATAGCAGGAACAATTTTAGTTAAAAATATACATGGGTTCAAGAAATATTGTCAGTTGAAATAATGCTGACTCAGCATTTTAGTGATTATCTGAAGCGCCTACAAAGCAACTTTGACATTTAGTATCTTCATAATGGCTTGGTGAAATTTTCTAAAATTTGGTACCCCAATAGATTTTTACTTGAGAAATCCATAAAAATAGCACTCTCAAGACTTGATTGTCACAGGAAATGCTTCATTTATTTACTTTTGTTCAAAGTTATTAATTTGCAAATTCATGATTTTTGGAGGTAAAATAAAGACTGTTGCCCAAAATCCCGAGTAAAAAGTTTAATTGTATATTAATATTTTATCTTAGGTCTACTGAAAAAAATTAGATTCATCAATCGTCTCTCTAATACTTAATTAAAATTAATTATTTAAAAATTGTCTTTTAAGAAAAATTTAAATTTTTTAACGAAAGCAATTGAAATGTTTTTTGAAACATTTATTTGAATAAAATAAAACATAAAATAGTGTTATTTATTGACAAGTTTAAGACATTTATAGTCATGGGCCAAGAGAGGGCCAGGGAGCCTCTGACTAACTTTGCCTACCCCCCCCCCCCAATCTCAATAGGAATTTTTTCTATTTCTTTTTATATACATAAAATGAATTAATAATAAATAATTATTAAAATTCAATTTAAAACATGTTTTTTCAGTTTAAGTTTGAGAAACAATTTATTTTCATTATTTCAAATCGATAAACTTTTATTTCAAAGTAAGCACTCAAAAAAGAGATCTTTTCACGATTTTAAAAATCATAAATTTTAAAACCAAAGATATTGAAATGTTTTTAAAACATTTTAACAAGCAATATCTTTATAGTAATATTTAGTAGTTTAAGACTAATATAGTCATTGACATAATTTGACTATTGAAGCATTAAGGGTGAACAATTTCAAGAGCAAAATAGATAAATTATCTGTATTATGTCGACTACTAACTAAACTTCTAGAAACAACCTAAATAACTATTATTTATTGTTATATTGTTAATTATAAAATAATTATTGTTAAAGGTTGTCACAGATTTAACATGGCGTTAAGTCTCAACAGCAATAATTATTATTATAATAAGGTGGACAGCGGTATTTATTTAAACCCCCTCCTTCTAAGCCTTCCATCCAAGGTTTTGAAAGAAAAAAAAAAAAAAATTCTAAATGCAAAATAGGTAAATAAAATTACAAAACTATTTTAAATATATTTAATTTTTTTTTAACCAATTGCTTATATTCTCCAAATCTAAATCAGATATGTTGTATGTATGACCTGATATTGTTGTGGGCGAAGAAATTAGGCATATAACTTCAGAATTGAGCACCCGACACTTGTCATTTTTAATTTGGCCAAAAGAAGTTTTTATCTGGTTTATGTGGATGCATGAATCTGACTTTTATATCAAGCTCACTTACATCTTCAGCAATCCCAAAACATGTAGTTCATTAAGATTAACACAAAAATTACCTATTTCTAAATACATATAGCATTTATGCAACTAATGTTTGCAATTATAGCATTAAACATTTAAGCAATTTTATTATTTGGAAAATTAATTTCAATAGAAATAAAAAAAAAATTATTGTTAGAATAAACAGTTTTTGTAAAAACAAACTTTTTTGGAACAAAGGAACTGAAAATGTCATACTTGTATATAATGTGAAACTAAAAGCAACACCATCTTAAATTTGTTAAAAAATCTTGTTAAAACCATTGACACTAAAGACTATCATAGCAAATTATCCCCAACCACATTGGAGAATGTTATCAAAATATGTTGTTCAAAGTATTAAACACATGGCTTTGTCGAATAAAATCAACAGATTTCTCCAACCACCTTCCCCAGAAAAAAATATGAGTTGTGATATGAGTTGATGAGTTGCAAGGTGCCAAGATGGGATGTTGTTAGACTCTTATTTATTCCAAATGATGACTTGATACCATAAAGCCCCAAATATAAAAAAGGGGGTCTTACTTTTTTATTAATTTTACTAGTAGGGAGTAAAAATATGAAGTACTTTGTTTTTTACAAAATCTTGCATTAAATCTGGTTTAAATAATTTTTGGCGTGAAATGCTTTAAAATCTAAATTTATTGATTGGTTTAATAAATTTTCAATATCTTAAAATATTGTATTATAATACTCATGACATTGTTATAACCTTAGCAAATAAAAAATGAATATAAATAGTTATTGTTGTGTTTGCTGGGGGAAAAAAAAACTAAAAAGAGTCTTATTGCAGTCCAAGATACTATTGAAAAACTGGTACAGACATATGTATACTCTGGATACATGAAAGAAATTGCAGCCTATCCTTCTTTAATATGTGGAAATTGCAAAAGTAATTTGTACATGCTTGCAAAAAGAAAAACACCAACAACCAGGTGGACACAAGATAGAAAAGGTTAGGTTTAATTTAATTGCACCTGTTAAAATATAATTTTAAAATATCTGCTAAAATATAAAGATGTTCAAACCTCAATTCTGTCATAAAAAGATCAAATGTTAGTTCTGAATAATTATTGATATAGGTATAGTCAAATTATCATCAACAATATATATTTAGGTCGTGACTTAGAGCACAAATGTTAAAAATCAACTGCTGTAAAAAGCCTTACATCATTGGCATTAGAACAAGGTATGCACAGTGCAGAGCAGATGACTTCTTCAACAATCAAAAATTGAACATAGAACAAGTAAATTCAGGTGATCTACTTTATTTAACCACCTGCAGCAAACCTCTGGTAATATGAGTTGGTCATCCTGAGAACAAAGGAGACCAAATACAACAAATCTCTTTTGAAACATTCAAGCAACTTTGAATAAATCTTGTTCTTTCAAACAGAAGAACTAGAAAACTGATTTCTACTCTTAACAAGGCCACAGGAAAGAGAGTTTTTTTAGTATGAAGTGATAAAAGTTACTGTCAGATCATGAATTAACTGTAAAAAATTATTACAGTGTTCAGTCCATGAAATTTGAAGTTGGGGATAAAAGGGTTGATAGAAACCTGGTTTTTGTAAAAGATTCAGATTTTGTTATGAGCATTATAAGTGAGAAAGCGTTGAATCCTTATAATACTATTGTACAATTGATGGAGGTGGAGGTTCATTGAAGATAAATGTTAACATCTTTGATGCAGATGAAATTGAAGTTAACAGTAATAATATGAAAAACAGAAGTTAACGTCAGGAATCAGACAAATATATGGGGTCTGGTGTGCAATGTATACAGTTTATTGCTATTGCTGAAGATGTTTCTGAAACATATCGGAATATAAAACAAAATTTTGATATTATCCAGCCAGATAGCCTGGGTTTTAGCCAGATAGATTTTTCATACTGCATGAGATTTAAAGTTGGCTTATCATGGTAGCCATGGTAGCATCCATTCATGTTTATATTGTGAATGTGAAAAATAAATGCATTTTTGAAGCCTTGATCTTCATCTTTTGAATTTTCAAGCAGCAGGAGAAAAAAAAAGAAACAGCACAGCTGTATAAAAATGTTATACGAAGAAGACTTATCCATCTTGATGAAGATCCAGAAGTTAGACTGATAAACAAAATTCCTCCATCATCATCATTACATATATTTATGGGTTTTATTAATGTTTTCAGCGACCTAGTTTTTACTTTCTGCCCAAACTTTAATCAGTGGTAGTCTGGAAAATACATTCTCAGACATGGCTATCATGGAGGAGGGTTTGATGGAGCGAACTATAACAAGATATTGAATAATCTTCAAGATCTAGAGGTGGCATTCATAAATAATTGTCAACAGTTAATACCTACTATTAGATGTTTCAAAGATTTAAAATTCAAAGTTGTGACTGCTTCTGTGATATCCTTAGTCCCAATGTCAAGCATTCTATTGCTAGATTAAAAGACTCATTTAATTACCTACACCTTACCCATAACATGGAAGGTCCACATCAGGTAAGCCTACATTGTGACTTTTTATGAAGAAAATCAATGTGGTCTAGCCAGATAGGCAGAACAAACTGGATAAGCAATTCAACCCAAGTTTAAACTTAGAAAGATACAAAAAAAATGTAAATCACCATGGAGAGCTTGCATAAAGCAAACTTCTCATCGAGACAAAGATATTTTGAAGACAATACCAATTAACTTTATAAATGCCATCTAGTAACTTAATTAAATAAAGATCTGTCAAAGTATTTAGCTTTATAGAATTTTCTATAAAATTTATCTTCTGCCTGCAAGTCAGCCAGAGGCCCAATTTGGGTTTGCAAAAATTAATATTTGAAAAAAGAGTTAAAAAACTTAGCAAGCTGAGCATTAAGACCCCTCGGTCCTCCTATTATCAATATTTTTAATTTCCTAATAAATATCTATATGATGGCATTTTTTTTTTAAGTTGGATAAAGTACAACCTGAGGGTCGATTTATGTATTATAGAGGATTAAAATAAACCTGATGAATTCATCTGATATAAACATATCACTCATAATCACAAGTCATCAGTCAAATTACATAATTACCCAAATCACAGATGTTCTAATAAAAAATGAGTACTTAAAAGGTAGATGTAACAAGGCATGGCTATAATGGAGGTGGCTACAATGGTCCAAACTGCATCAAAGTTTTAAACTCTTTTGATTGCACATATGCACTATTATTACAGACATAAACAGGTCTTAATGCCTTCAAAGAAGATATAGTTATTAATGCCTTTAAAGCAGAATTATTTTAGTTTTTATAAAATATCTAATGAATAATTAAAATGTTAAATGGATTTTAATATACTTTCAGCTGTAAAGAGATGTTTTGAAAACATTTTGCATGATTCATATTCAAAAGATATTAAGACATGTTTTTAAAATGAAATGATAGCCAGAGACTTATTTCTATCTTAATTATACTATAATTCTAAACTTTTAATAGGAAATTTCATGTAATCAAAGCTGGCCTGGAATTTGGATGGTGCATCGTTAGCTCTTCAACCCTTGGAACTAGGGTCGACATTTGGTAAAGCTGACCTAGCGGCCAACCTAAAAGTATTTGAGACCAGCAAAAAATTGCCGATTTTGTTTCTTTGTTTCTATGTTTTATAGTAACCCCTTTGTGTCAAATTTGCTTTGCCAACCTGATACCTACCTCTAACAGTTTGATTTTTCCTAATTCTGAGAGTTGGCTCTTGGAACACTGAATCAGAAGTTTAAATAAAAACGAGCAAAATGCTAAAGCAGTTTTAGAACATAATGTAAATTATGACAACTTCTAACAGTGTCACATATTTTAGCATGAGAATATCAAAGTAAATCATTATAAAACAATCGTGAAAACCTTATCAAAGAAAAGTTTTAAATTTTAATTTAATAATTTTTCTCATTAAATAAATAGCATTAAAAAAACAATTTTTAATTATAATATATATAGCAATTTTAAATCAATAGTAGAAATGTTAAAACATGAACTGGTAAAACAACAAATTTGAATGAAAAACATCAAAAAATGAACTCAACTAAAAATAAAAAACAGATATGGTTGTTACAAACAAACATTTTCTTGAAATTTAGATTTAAAAATAGTAGTTTTTTTATTACTTAACCATTGGTTTGCTGGATTTAGATTTTTGAGTGATTTTCCATCTTTATTATTGCAATGCACAGAGTTACCAAGCCAACAAGATGAATTAAGTGACAATACCCTAGAGAAGTTATCTAATCACTGTATAACTTTTTTTATAAGTTTTATTCATCTAAATTTTTCACCTTAAACATCTGCACGTTTTAGGCTGGGCGTTGTGTAGACAATACAGGAAAATGAAAGAGTTTTTTTTTTTTTTTTTAATTTTAATTCGCCTCAAGGTCGAGAAGGCCACTACAGACGAGGAGGCTACTTATTTGTGGTTATAACCCTCTCTCAACTCTATAACTCAGAAACACGAACCTTGATGAACAAGGCCGCTGCGCGGAGAAATGAGTTGAGCACGGTACTACCAGGGACGTGGTGGGGATCAAACTCGGAACCACACGTTTATGAAGCGAGTGCTCTACCACTACACCACTACCACTTAAATAAAAAAATAAAATATCAATCAACTTGATATAATAGTGATGAATTGTTGCTTTATGGGGTAGTTAGTATTTATAAATTTATTTTTTTAAATTTGTTCACTAAGATGTGGTTTAACTAGTAAATAACTGGGGTTAATGTTTAACTTGGGCTAGGCCAGATAAAACATAGTTGTCCCTGGTTGTTTATTAAGCCCAGCCTAGGTTAAAAATAATCTAATAGCAATAAATATTTATACAGGATTGATACTATCAGGAAATATAAAAAAATTAAAATTATTATTTTAATTATTATTCTATTAGTTTCTTGTAAAATATAATAATATAAATAATAACAAAAACAAATCTGCCTGTTTTTACATATTAAGCTTGTTTGAAAAAAGCATTATAATAAAAAACTGTTTTTTTAAAGGTTAAATCAAATAATGAAGAAAGTGATAAACTTATCTAAATAAATTCACCTTTTTTTTATAAATTTTAATCATATATTTTACTTATGATTTTATTTCAATCCACATCAACTATTTGATTCCTGATATCTATCTATCTATCTATCTATCTATCTATCTATCTATCTATCTATCTATCTATCTATATATATATATATATATATATATATATATATATATATATATATATATATATATATATATATATATATATAGGCCTCGGTGGGAGTAAATAAGTGCGAGAGCGGAGAAAAGCTCTCCTAAAACCAACATGACAAGCCTTATGAGCTGCTCTTCTAAACTTTCTGTTTATTTATATAAAAGTTGCGAATTAAATACAAAATTTATTTTCATACTTGTTACTAGCATATGTTTTTAACGTTAATGATACAATAATATACACATAACAAGTGCCATTTATTGCGCCATAAAAAAAAAATTTAGACTTAAAATTTTTTAGACTTTGCAAAAACCTTACCTATTTATTATCCAATGAATTAAATTATTTTGATTTTGCTTTTTTCATTTTAGTTAAAATGATAATCAAACTTTTGAGAGAAAAAAACTTTTGCAATGTTGTAAATTGCTCCCGTAAACTGTTTTAGGGTAGTGTGGGCAAGCTAAAGCTCTCGCTTCCCGCTGAGACCTGATATATATATATAAGTTTTATGCTAAATGCAATCATCAGGTGTAAACACCGGATGATTGCATTTAGCATGAAACTTAAAGTTTTAATGAAAATGAACTTATTCTGTTTTAATTTAAACCATTTTAATTTACTTTAACTCATCGAGCACTCTCACAAAGATATATGCAAGCACTAATACGTGTATATATATATATATATATATATATATATATATATATATATATATATATATATATATATATATATATATATATATATATATATATCTATTTATGTATATTAATTAAAGGAAAGTAAATAACTTGAAACCTATTAAAAGAAATTAAACAATTAGTAGATAAATAAATAATGAAATAACAAAAAACAAGGAAAGAAATAATTGCTGACTCATGCTAAACCCTCAGCCAATGTAGCGGCACTCTTTTATGGCAACAGGCTATGAGATTAATGTATGTACTGAAGCCTTTGGCAGCAAGCTATTTCAGTGTGATATATATATATATATATATATAAAATAAAGATATTAAGTTAAAAATAAGATGTATCTTAATATCTCCCATTTTATCTTAATATCTCCCAAAAATGTTTAAATAGGTTCAAATCTGAAGATTGTCTACAAAACTCGATGTAAAATCATGAAATCATTAACTCGTTTCTCCGCGCAGCGGCCTTGTTCATCAAGATTCGTGTTTCGGAGTTATAGAGTTGAGAGAGGGTTATAACCACAAATAAGTAGCCTCCTTGTCTGTAGTGGCCTTCTCGGCCTTGAGGAGGTGAATTAAAATTAAAAAAAAAAAAAAAAATTAACCACTCCTGAAAACAGATGGAAAAGAGGCGATCTTATTCAACAATATAAGCTTCTCAACAATTTAAACCTAATTGATTGGCATGTAATACCTTGCAGCATAGCACCCAGAGCTTAAAATCGAATCAGATTTCATCGTGAGATGAAATCTGATTCGATATTGTTGATGCCAGGAACTGCAAAATCAGACATAAGTGTTATAACAACCATGTAGTCAATGACTGGAATGCTTTGCCAGAGGTTACCAGATGAACCAAAATAAATTGATAAATTTAAACAACTAGACAGTTTTCAGTCACCGTAGTTATTATATCTCATCATTTACCATAAATGCCACACAAAAGTGGCTGACATACGAGTTGGGTATAGAACACGTCTATTTTATTATTCAAACTTTATTTTGGGTCAAAAATTCTACATCTAGATTGGAAAGGAGCTTTGGATTTTCAAATTCTAACAACAATTCCAAAATACCAAATAACAATTCCAAATAAAATTCCAAATTTATTTGAATTTAGTTTATCCAATAACCTTTGAGCCAACCATTTCTATTCTTTTAATAAAATTTTGAGTAATTACTCCCATAATGTAAACTTATGTTTTTCAAAGTTGTAGTATAATTTGACATATAAAAAATATATATAAAAAAATTTATGAATATAATTTATTTATAAATAATAGACATAAAAAGTGTATAGTAAAATACAAATAGATGTAAACTATATGCAAAACCATAAAACTATTACAATCTTTAGTTATATATATAAAATATGGTTATCCCATTAATCTTATAAATCTATTAACCATATTAATCTCATCATGTAATAAACTTTAAAAAAAATATTGTTATCAGAATTAATTTTAAATAAAACAAATCTAAATAAATTTACTTACTTTTGAGATATTCTCATACCCATATTCAAGCAGTTTGCCAAAATAAAACCCATACCTCCAAGATATTTAGTAAATAAAAGAGACGAGAGCAAAAATACTATTGAAAAGAGTAGCATTTTAAAATTATAAGAATCAATTTGTTGCTGATTCATTGAAGCAAACATAAAACATTCTGTAATTCCATTCAAAGCAATAAACATAACATAAATGCAGTAGGTACGTAACAAGTTAGGACCTAAAAGGTTTACAAAATAGATATTAAATTAATAAATATTTCTTAACTAATCAAATTCTTAATCAAATAACTAAAGAGTTTTACCTTTGAACCAAAAAGTTTTATAAATGCTTTTAAGGGTATAAAATTTATGAAAAATTGTATTTGAACTTTTAGTTATTATTTATTTATTAGTTTAGAGCTACTTTTACAGAACCACCCATAACTTTACTTTAGACTTTTCATCTTGATTTTTAATATTGAGGATTTGCAAAAATGCCAACATTTTTAAAACGTTTTTTTTTTTGTATTTACATTATTCGTGCAAAAATAGCAAAAAACAATTTGTCATTAGGATTATCATTTTATATTTTAAAGACGGTCATTTTTACTCCATCACAATTTGATCACTTGCATAATATTATTGAGTACTTACACCTTGCTATGTCAAACAGTTTATCTAAAATCATTTTATGTTTATCTATGATAATTTTATGATAAGAGAACAGTTTAGAAGTTCCTTTACCTAACCCCAGATAATATACTTTTTTCTGGTCATTTATGATACTTAGGCTTAATTTTTTATTAGTGATAATGAGTATAAAAGAATTAGCAGTTTGCCATAAGTCTTTTACTGAGGCCCATAACTTTCAATCCTTCTAAAAAAAAATCTCAGAAAGTTACTATTTTTGACTACAAAATATTTTGGTGATAAACCATCAATGCTTTACAAAATTATGCTAAACTATATTAGTAACCTATTTTTATAATCAAAAAAATCTCTCCATTGAAATATTGAAGTTTAAGATAAAATTTTTACAGTGATAAAAATAGAGGTATTTTAATATATTGATTTTATCTAGAGTAGTTCAAATTTATTTAGAGTTGTTAAGATTTATTTAGAGTGGTTTAGATTTATTTAGAGTGATTTAGATTTATATAGAGTGGTTTAGGTTTATTTAGAGTGGTTTAGATTTATTTAGAGTGGTTTAGCTTTATTTGGTTTAGACTTATTTAGAGTGGTTTAGGTTTATTTAGAGTGGTTTAGGTTTATTTAGAGTAGTTTAGGTTTATTTAGAGTAGTTAAGATTTATTTAGAGTGGTTTAACTTTATTTAGAGTGGTTTAGCTTTATTTAGAGTGGTTTAGCTTTATTTAGAGTGGTTTAGGTTTACTTAGAGTGGTTTAGCTTTATTTAGAGTGGTTTAGGTTTACTTAGAGTGGTTTAGCTTTATTTAGAGTTGTTTTGATTAAAAGAGTAGTAAAATCAACAAAACTAAATGTAAACAATACATTAGTGATAATACTTTTAAGCTCAAAAATATCTAAGAAACATTAAATGTATCCATTTAAATATACCTAATTAGGTCCTATTGCACCATCATAAAAACCACAACTAAAAATTCCAATGACTATCTCTTTATATTAATGCTGAACTTGATAGTGTTAATGTAAATGCCTACTTGTGCATGTTGAACACAAAAAAGCAATTGCAACTCAAGTAATAGCGAGAAAAAGTCACAGCATTTTTATAAGAAAACATGAACAAAAGTGTATGCCAATATCTAACTTAAGTAAAATTAAATTTATGTAGTGTTAAAACATATATAAAGTTTTACAGTTTTACATTTACTTGATTTATTTTGATTTATAGCATATAAACATATATTAAGTTTTATATAAACATATATTAAGTTTTACAGTTTTGCATTTACTTGATTTTTTATTAAATTTTGATTAATAGCATTTATTTGCTATTTATTAAAGTCTTTTGCTTATTAAATAGCATAAAAACATTGTTCAAACTATACGCCAAAGTAGTTAGCTTGTCAAGTATCAGTAGTGCATCGCTGTGGTTCAAATCTTTACGATCATTTTTTTTTATCTTTTTCAAATAAAACATTAATGTAAATAAACATTTTTGAAGCTCTGTAGATATTATATACATAAAATATATATAAAGATATATACTATAACAAACAAAAAAATGCAAATTTTTAAAAAAGCCTAAAATTTCTAAAAACATCAAAATACCGTGAGAAATTTGTTGCTCATATGTCATAGAGATACTTATGTTATTAATGTAATGAGGTAATTAGTGAAGTCTGTGCATTTAATTCACACTAAAGAGACAACTTTCTTTCTGATAGGAGAAAAGATTTTACATTCAAACTTTTATTTTCTTCGAAAATAATTAACAGAGCAAGTGTAATAAGCTGTGGATGGTCTGAAAAAAAACTATGGTCTATAACTTAATAAAGAAAAAAATTAATAAGCCCGTTCTGCTTCTCTAGAAGGTGCTGCTGTGGAGCAAATAAAAAAATAAAAAAGCTATAAAAACTTTAAAATTATATTTTAACAAATCAAAGTCTTTTTTTCTATAATATTTATATAATATATTCATAATATACTTTTTGCTATTAATATATATAGGGCCTCACAAAATGACACTTATGACAGCGCACTAAAGCACGGAGCTATCAAGTTATGTGTGTAAGTAAAACACAAACAATTTTATAAATCTCCTCTACCGATTGCAATTAATCAACACTTTTAAAGGAGGTTCTCTAAGCAAGCACAGCTTTACTGCATAGCAATAAAGTTGCATTTAAATACAAACAAATATATTAAATGCAAATTTAAAAATCTACTTATATAATGATGTATAAAGTGTTGTATGTGATATAAGAAAACTTTTATGATAATTGGTTAAGTCTTTTTTGTTTAAACTGTTTTGTTTTGAATTATTTTTTTTCTGTTGAGTGTTTATTGCAGAAAAACAAATCAATTTAACTTATTTGACATTCCTAGCTACACATAACCTGTTTTACAGGTCCTCATTTGCTTTGCATATAATAATACTAATTGTTTTGATAAGACGGTTGAAATTTTATTATAAACTTCATTTTTGGAAAACACCTGGTGAAATGTCTTGCAATTGTCATCTATGTTAAAAAATATTTATGTTGAGTGTTTTAATTAACTTCCTTCCGTCTCTTTACAAACGCAGTGAAGAGACAATTTACTTTCTTAAAGTAGGAAGTAATTAAGTTTATAATTATTCTTTCAAAATAAATAAACCCAGTAAGGGTTTCAATAAGCTCTCTCTTTATATGTGGAAAAGGTGCGTATGTTAAATTTTATTTGCTCATAAAGTTTGTAACTTTAGAAGCCAAAAAAATTAACATTAACACTTACAAAGACCCATATTTTTTTACATGTCCGTTCAAATCAAACTAAATTAAAGTTAAAATAAATATTTGTACTAAAATATACAAGAAATAGTTATAATATAAAATATAAAAACAACGAATATAATTTTTTTATAAATATAAAACCATCACATTAAATTTTTCGCTACCAGCCGAACAAAAATCTTTTTGTAGCAATCGCACATTTTTTTGAACAACATTTGAATAGCATAACATTGACAATTAATTAAAATTCGATAATAATAATGTTTTAAACACGCATCATTAAACAATAAGAAATGCTAAGTGCTTAAAACTATTGTTTTTGTAAGTAGTAATTAAAACATTAAGTCCAAAACAAACCTCATTGAATAAAAGTATTATATTTTCTTCAAAAGACTTTGGTAATAACTTAACTAAATACTTAACACTTCTACAAGTTAGGTTTTACAGTATTAACGCTGTTTTATTTTATAATCAAATTTAAAGTTTTTTTAACGATGGATTATTCAAGATTATTTGACTTAATGATAACTTTTTTATAATTATACAATATAGCTGCTATTTTTTCTTGATTATATAGAGAATTAGTTAAACCTTCAGAACAATGTGTCATAAATGGAAATTTATGTACAAAACAAAATAAATTGTAAAGCATACTCGAAAGCCGATACAAGCAGCTTGCGGTAGTGAAAGAGTTAAACCATAACTAAATGTAAATTAAACATTAAACAAACAACTCTATTGAACCACACGAACTAAATATAAAAGGAAAAACAGCATCATACTTTATTTTTTCTCTGCCTGCGAACTCTAATAATCACAAAATAATTATAATTGTGTCATGATTTTGGCTGGCTTCTACAACAAAGTAATAACAAAACAAGTAAAAAAAAATAATTGCATATATATATATATATATATATTGCATATATATATTGCATATATATATTGCATATATATATATATATATATATATATATATATATATATATATATATATATATATATATATATATATATATATATATATATATATATATATATATATATATATATATATATATACATATATATATATATATATATTTGTATAAATTTTTACTTAATCACAAATACTTTTTGTGATTTAAAAAATGTGAGTAAAAAATTATAAAAATATTTTATTTTCTGATTGTAGTAGAAAAAATGCTTATATCTTTAAAAAAACAACAACAAAAAAACACTATCTTAAAAAGATATTGTGATGATGTCATATACTAAAACTATTATAAATTAACATGCATTGAATAAATTATCAAGTCTGCAGATTGCGGCTAACATTATACAGACCCCAGCTAACATTATACAGACCCCTAGAACAAAAAAAAATGAAGTAGGTGAGCTTCGACTAAAATGATAATTTTAATTTTGTTGGTATGCATTCATTATTTAGTTTCAATCAAAAAAATTTAGCCCAAATGTTTTTTTTAAACATTTTTTTAATATGAACCCAACTTATCTAGGCAGTTGGGAATCCCTTTAAGGTGTTTTACATAATATACTACAACAAATAAAAATTCAATACTGATGTTGTTGGTTTGTTGCAAGATGTAAGCAAATCATTAAAATTTCTTCTGGGTAACCTTTCTTTATTATGGTATTATTATTATTATTATTATTATTTTATCAAATTCATTTTCTCAAGATTCAACTACAGTTAATAAAGCTGCTTTTTTTAACTTTATATGGAACTCTTTTCAACACTAACCCAAGACATGGAAAAGCTGTTAGATTAAATTTTTTTAAATGTTGATTAAATTAACAAAAAAAAAAAAAAAAAAAAAAATTA